GCCTGGAAAATAATTGGTGAGAGGGAGTTTGAACTGATATAACAACAGGCAGGCAGGGAAAAAAGTGAGTATTGGTGGGACTGAGCCACAATTCTTAAACTCCGACAGATAAATAAATAAATAACACAGCATCTTTCTCTGCCTGTCACCGCGCCCAAGGATTTTTTAGTCCTTAAACAGGTTTGCTGGCATAATTTGTCAAGTCCAACAGGGAGGTTTCCATGTGACAGCCGATCGTTTCTCACCACGCACAGTGGTGCACCAAAGCCGTCCTGCCGGCTCGGAGCAACTCCATAATTAGATAACAGTTAACACACGTATATGAGATGGCTCATCACTCATGCCCAGGGTATGGCAGAGCCCGCCATGGCCGATCCTGCGGCGTGCTGGCAGCAGGCAGGGAGCATTCCGGACAAATACATCTTCCTCCAGGAGTTTATCTGCATCACCATTTGCTCCAATTATAACTAATTGGACACATATTGCATTTTCATAGCATCTAATTTTCTATTGATTTTAACGGGACTGCTGGTGTTTTGTACTATTAAGTGGTCTCTCGTATCAGTTGCTGTTTAAAAACGCTGAGCGCACTCCCCTGTATTATACAGTCAGCACATGTTTTAAAACCTATTTAATTGTTAGGTCCATAAAATGCACAAACTGTATTAGGGAGCGGCTTTGTTCTCTTTCGAGAGTGTGAGTAGAAAAAAAAAAAATCCAACTCCACAACTATTTCCATGTCCGGTTTCAGGAGCTGCAGCTCCCAGAGACCTGCTTGGAGCCTTGTGCTTCAGGAAAACAGCTTCGGAGGGACCATCTTTATCCCACATGGAGCCAGCTCCCTCCAGGTAACGATGCTCTTCATTGGCAGAACAGAGCAGGTCTGTGCTTGAAATGGGACTGTTAGTTTTACAAGAGGCCTAGGACCAAAATTTGGATTAAGACGGAGATAAGGTCACTTTAGATTTTCTGTATAACTAAGGAATAAGGTGATAACTGTAGGGTTTGGGACTTCACTCCCTGTCATAGATATTGCCATGTACCTTGGCAATATATCCAGACAAAACCAGGCTATCAAATTAGCCATGTCATTTCAGCAAGTACTCAGTGAAGCAGGGTGAAAGCAACAGTCCTTTGTTCAGCATCATTTAAAGAAGAAAAGATTTTAGAAGAGAGATTTAGGGGAGAAAGGGAGAGGTGGCCTGGCAAAGAGCATTTCCAGCAATGTGCGGTGGATTGCTGGCTCGTGGAGGTTGGATAGTGGCATTAATGGTAAAGAAGGCAGATTAAAGGAGATGGAAATAATGTTTTGGGGCAGCTGAGTTACCCCAGGGTGCTGGTGAGTTTGCTGTCAAGTTGCTGCCTTTGCTGCTCATTAGCAAGAACCACATTGTGTTTGTGGGAGACAGGTGAGTTCATGAGGGTGTATAAATTAAATAGACACTTTATTAAGTTCAGGTAATAGTTGGGGTTTGAAAGACTGAGTGGCTACTGCGATGTCAGCAACTACTTTAGTGCACAAAGGAACTGAGTGCTTTTTAATTAAGTCAAATAAAATCCAAGCGGAAGGCTCTCGAGCCTTGTCTGGAGTCTACTTTTTGGGTTGAATATCTATAATTTTAGAAATGTTAATAAAACACAGTCCACTTTTCCCCTGTAATAATATAAGTTCAATTAATATTTGATGTCTGTAAGGAAAAGGATAAAAGCAGCAAGCTTGTATTTTCTGGTTTACAAATGGCACATTGTGCAGAATCCCGTGACTGTGGCATTGATTTAAACATCCTCGCAAAGACACCATGCAATAAAGTTGAATCATCTGCAGTATAAGTATGGCTGTTTGGGGGGAAAAAATAGCAATGTGAGAGAGTAGATGTTTTCCTGTATTATCAAAAGCCACTTCATTTTGAGGAAATTTCCTCCAATTTAGTAATGTTTGGATGGAAATCAAATAACACATTAGCTGCAGGAAAGGGGAAAAAAATCCCTTGCAAAGCTAATTACGAAGGGAATGTGCACTTCATTAAGATAAAGCTGTAGGAAATCAATGTTCTGTATTGTTGTTTTTTCCTTTTGATTGGATTTTAGAATGATAAATTGTTAATGCATTTGATCTAAAAATGATTTGTTTATTCAGATGAAGAGCAACAGTACTTTGTCTCATTTGGCCTTTTAGCTTATAATGATAATAGCTTGGAGGGCTGCTCATTTTTCAAAAGGGTATCGGACTGGAATAGGCAGGAGATTTCTGGACTCGGAAGGATGGGCCCTATGCAAGGGTTCGTTGTAGGCTAATTCTATTGCATGTTGAATCTTCTGCTTCATTAGGAATATCGACAAATGCTGATAAATTCTTTGGCTTTTCTGTGCTGTCTATAACACATCTTTATTAGAATATTGAGGCTAAAGTAGAAAGATCCACAAAAGAGCAGATTCTCTTGCATTGCCTACTACTGATCCTCCTTGCCATAGCAATGGGACTTTTGCTCCATTTCCTGCCTGCAATCATTGCCAACGTAGCCAAAAGCCAAGCAGAGGCACTGCACGAGGGTTGTCAGAGAGGGAAAAGTGATGCACAGGTTTGTTTTAATAATTTGGTTTTGATTCACCTCTAGCCCATGTCTCTCACTCAGGGTGCCCATGGCTCCCCAGTGCCATTCCACAGTGCCTGTAGGCTTTTCCCAGCTCGGGATGTGCTGGAGCATTGAGCAGGGGCAGGAGCATCTGCTCCTGGCCCTGAGGGCCTTTCCAGTGCAAGACCCTATTTCATGAGGAGAAGAATAGACCTTGCTTCTCTTTGTACTCAAGCCTGAACTTGCTGGTGTTGAGTGGTTGAGGTTTTGGACCTGGATGTGGTGCTGTTGCAGACTGCACCTGTAACATTGGCACAGGCAGGAAGGGAGAGCAGCACCCTGCCAGATTCTGCCTGTGGAACCTGGCAGCGCTCAGCAGGCAGAGGTGAACCCCGTACCTCCTATTTCGTAAAAGTGGGGGCCCACAGGCATTTGGGAATGGGCACTGCAGAGATCAGGGGCTTCAACACAGCACACACCTCTATCCACACCTGTAATCTGTCTTGCTTGGGTGCCTGGTGGCTGGTACAGCCCCAGAGACCAACCTGGTAGTGCCTGCCTGTGCCCTTCCTGCTGGGAAGCTATTGCAGCTCTCTCCAGCTTGTAGCGTGGGCTGCTCTTTCTCAGCTGCTGGGAAAGCCTCACCACCAGAGAGACATCATTAGTTTTGATTAATGGCATCCAGAAGAGAAAACCTAATTTTCTAAAAAGGAAAACCTCACCCATAACTCACTGCAGAGAATTTAAACAAAATGTTATAGAACATCCACGCCGACTCACATTGATTTCAAATATGTTCCAAGGCACTCCCTGAAGCAAAGCAAGGGGGGAGTGGGGACAGTACTGGTCCCCACCAGAAGATGCTCAGTGTAACCCCATACCACTCTCCCACAGCAGTGCTTTCAAATGACTGACCCCAAATCAACGGGGCTGGAACAGAACAAGAGCACCTGAGGAGCAGAGTGTGTTTTAAGTGGTGGTGCTAAGGCAGCTCGGTGCACTCTAAACAAAAACCCATGTGCCCATCAGGGTTTAGCTCAGTACAGCCTCAGTCGCTGATGGCACTTCCACCTCCACCCAATCACCAGTAAATAATTATTTTCCTTTGCCTCCTGTAAGTCACCAATGGATGAATTTAATACTTCCAGGTCTTCACTGTCTAAGTTTCCGCTTAGTTCCTTGGCTGATTGTCTCTTGAAAAGGTACCTAGAGATAACTTGATTAAATTAATTGCAGAGCTCTTTTTAAAAGCTATTCTCTCTCTCTTTCTCCCTCCATCTCTCCCTCCATTTATTTATAGGCAGCTTAGAGTAACGGGTTTGGGCAGTTAAGTGATCTGCAGTGCTTACCGTGACAATGCGAAGCCTGTAATTCTTGGGGAGATATAATGCTGGCCCACTTGCAGTATTTCTGTGTGCAGTGGTTCTAAGCACAGGTGCTTTTCCCCAGTATCATCTTGCAGCGTGGTGGGCTGTGAGGAAGAGGGGGGAAAAGTCACCTTTGCCTTATGACGCATATAAATTCTTTAAATAGGTTATGCACATGGCAATGTGCAATATCTGCTCGTGGCTCTGGGTTAAGAAGGAAAGGCCTGACTTTATTGGCTCCCACTGCAGAAATGATCAGAGCCGCTGTGATTTTTAAATTTGATTTACTGAGTTATTTTTAGCAGTGGGGTGTTCATGCTGCAGGGCTCTCCAGGAGAAATCAGCTCCCCAGCTCTGCGACATGAACCGTCGCGCAAGTGACTTGGACAGCGGTGACGTAGCAGGGGCTTGCTTTCCTCATTTGGGGACAAATTGCCTGATTATGGGACTACAAGAAAGAAAAAGCTTTTTTTTTTCTTTTTTTTTTTTTCATTTTACCCCACCTTTCACTTCCTTTCCTTCGTTTTCCTGTTGGTTTCTGGTGATGTCAAATACAACCATTGCTTGTCTTGAGCAGATCTTAAACCTCCTGAAAATGCTGATTTTAATGCCAGATAAGAAGACATGGGAGGCTGCATGGTAGGGAAACAAAGTTTGCTAACCTCTAAAAGGTGTTTCAGCCTTTTTCCTCCTGTTTACCAAAGAGAACCCGAGAGGAGAAGAGTTCTGCAGTTCTGAATTCCTTGGCTGTAGGCTGGGCTGCTTGTAGGAAAGGACATCTCTGCTGCTGTGTGTTAGGTGTCATTTTAGATAACAAAACATAGGGCATGAAGGATGACAGCAGACCATAAAACACTGAGAGGAATAAGTCAGGAAGTGATAATTAAAGTATCTGGATTAAAACAATAGCCTTTACTTCTGTCACGCTGTAATAGCAGCGTGGCTCTCAAGACAGACAGAGCCAAATATCAGGTTTAAAAATGCTCCAGGCTGATGGTTACTGCTGCAGACTATTCCACTGCTGTTAAACCTGCCTCTTTAATTCAGACCCGCTCTTCAGCCGTAGCCTCTAAGAAGCTTAAATAAATCCTGACTGCCTGAAAGTGAAGCCATTTGAACCAGTGCAGCATCAGGCAGCAAGTTCAGAAGAGGTCCAGGCAGCTGGGAAAGAAAAGACCCTGAAGAATTCCCCTCTGCTGCCGCAGCCCATGAGGCCAAATGCTTTGCTAAAGCTGGTAAAATGGAACCAAATCAACTGTTCAATGGATTTGGTCCCCTTCAACCAGCTGTAGCTGTGCATTGATCTCTCAGATGCACCTTGGAGGCTGAAACACTTGAACCCGACCAGGGCGACTCAGGTAGAAGACGTGAACGCTGCTGATAAGGACATGATGATGACTGGCATCTGCAGATCTATCACTCGGGCTCTAAACTGGTGGGCTGAGCCTGAGTCATTATGTGGTTGCCAGTCAATTCTGCCTAACGGAGACCACTCAAGATTGATAATCTCTACCATCCTCCTATTATTGATCTCAGCTGTAACACAGGACTGTGTATTTCCACTGCAAATGCTGTGCGTTTTCATATGTATTTGCTCACACCCACCCAGGAGCCCTGTGCCTCAGTGTTTCATCTGCTGCAATGAAGAATAAAGGTTTTGATCTGAAGTTCCCTCCTTGTGTTTTGTACCACACGCCAAGCTGCTCCTTCAACAGCTCTAGTGAAGAAATGGGTTGTTACAGGGATACCAGAGCTGGGAAGGAGTTGGGAATACCAGCTGCTTCTCCATTTCCCCAAATGGCAAATATCCACAGCCTGTACTAGCCAACAGCTTTTTTTTTTTTGTTAATGAGATAAAAGATGAGCTCCTAAGAAAGGGTCCCCAGTTTGATTTTGTTGACCTAAAAGGCTTGTAAAGTCTCTATCCCATCTGGTCCTTATAAGCACTAATGTTATGCTAATGGACTTAAAGAAAATCACTCCCTTTCTCATGTAATAATGATTGGTGGGAAAGTAAGCTGGGCGTCATCCTTTCCTAGCCATTGTAAATCTATAGGACTCTCACAAGCTATGAATATTGCGGGCATAATGAGCCATTTGGATGCAAAAGTCTGATGGGAGATTATTCATGTCTTTACTTCTTAAGGACACCTGGCCCAAGTTAACCCCTGGCATGAGAGTGTGCAGAGATTTGTCTCTTTTCACACGCCAGGACTTTGGTTCACTTGATTCCGCATCTCTGGTCCTTTAGGTACCATTTAAATGTTCTTACTAGGGCCAAGAGTATTCATGTGCTTCAAGATAAGGAGTTGTTAGATGGATCTGAGGCTTAACATGCATCTAATATTTATGTCACTGGGTATTTGAAAGGCAAAGACATGAGGAGCAATGTTACTGCAGCAGCACCTTTCCTCAACTAAAAGGAAAGCAGTGCTTACTCAATCCTGCTAGCTCATTTTTCTGCCCCTTAACAGTCCTAAACATCTATGTTGAAATCCTACTGAAGTCTACATGTAGTTTTTTTCCCATACACTTCAGTCAGATCAGGCACTTTTTCCTTCATGCCACCAGCTGATTTCCTGAAAACATGTAAAAGAAATTACTGGTTCTATTTATTCATTTATTTATCTTCACAAACGCGGGATCTTTCCAAACGCCCAACAATGCATCCAAAAGGGCTTTGACCCGGCCTGATAGAAGAGACTCGAGCCTTTGCAAAATGCATTTGCTGACATTTGTGCCTGCAAATAGAGGAAAACGAGCAGCTCCAACAAATCCCTGTATTAGCACGGGGCCAGTTTGCAGCGGGTAGAGAGGGTGCTCATGGATTTCCAGTCCCAGCCACGCAGCACGGCTGTGCCCTTGGCAAAACAGCCAAGTGGTCACCACCTCTGTAGCTCCAAGTCACTTCTTGACACAGTGTCTTTCAAGGCTGATTAATTGCTTTGCAGTTGGTCCTGATGGTTTCTGAGCGCTACTCAATCCCACTTCCTGCTTCCCATCTCAGAAACACCAGGCAAGGGCATCTGCTGAGACAGGAATCACTGTGTGAGCAGAGCAGCAGTCGCTGAGCAAACATCAACTCAACGGTGTCACTGCCAGTCCTGAGATTCCTGAACAAGGAAGGAAGGGGACGAAAGCACAAGGGAAGGGGAATCCTCAGCACAAGTCCCTAATTGCTGGCAGTCTGGGCTGTGAATGATGTTGGGACTCTAGAGGAAAAGGTTGAGTAAAAACAGATGCTGCCAGCAGGTTGTGGCCTGGGTTTCCAAAATACCACTCTCCTCCCGCCTGCTCCCACAATCTGGGTTGTTTTCTCTTGTTCCCTAGGGCTGCATCCAATGTAAACCACACCATTATTAAAATTCTTCCTTGGTAATGATAATTAAGTTACTAAAAAATGTCAAATGGGAAAGCTGGAGGCATTGCAACTTGAACAAAACCACGGAATATAAATGAAAATGTTTTCTCCTTAAAGAAATGTGGTCCATATTTAGGTTCCCTCAAAGCCACCTGAGCTTCAAATATCAGGAAATCTTCCAGTTCTCTTGTAGCAAGAAAAGATACAAATGCACAAGGATCCCAAAAGTTGGGCGACGTATTTAGGTGCTTAAATGTGGATCCCACTTTCAGGCAGCCATGCTTGAAGATTGCTGCCAGTGTTTTTATTGCCTAATTATATCTTTATGGAATGAGAAATTCAATTCACTTAGCATGGAATTCCTATAACAGTACAGCCATTATGGTCTAGTCAAGGAAATATGAGGCCCAACAGAAGGCAGCAGGTAGACTTCAGGGAAGCTCTCTAGGGAGTCCTACTGTATAGGGACAAACCTAAGGCGTGGGCCAAAAAATTGTAAATATCCCTCCTAACAGCTTGTGTTTCAGCCCTGCTCACCCCCAAATACCTCCTGATGCAACAGTAGGGATTTGGTGCAAATGGAGCTCACTGATGTCTGCCCTTTGCAACCCGGAGCTGCTCAGATCATGAACCCACCCATGGTCTGAAAATTGGATCTGCTTCAGTCGATTTCCCTTAAAGCACAGCTCTGAGGGGAAGTCTTACTGCTGACTTTGAAAACCCCAGGACCAGGTCTTGGCTAAGTAATTAGAAACCTTTAGCCAACCATCCTTAACTACCTCAAATCTAATTGTCCTCCATATCCTCTAAGAGGCTGTTCTGATGGCTCACCAGACACTGCTGGTTTCCCGGAAACCCTATTAGCTTCTCAAACAAGGCAATCCTGAGGACTCAGTCCCGCAAACCTCTTGTGTAAATATTAAATAACAGTGAATAATTATCAGGAGTAACCCTTTTTGCTTGACCCTCTTCTGTAATAAAGATCTTTGTCAGCAAACGCAAACGTTATTTTGAGGAGCAATTCATAATCTAGAGCTGCTGAACACATCAGCCTAAATACACTAATACTCTAATATCCATATTTGTACAGGAATTAAGACAGATAAAAACAGACACGTTATCTGTCCCAAATACCTGAGAGCATTCACCAGTCAAGCTTAGGAAGAGAAGGGGGCACAAGAGTGGTATGGAAGGGATCACTTCTGCCTTTGATACATCTGCAAGCACATCTTGAGTGGTGCGATCAGATCAGCTGGATTCTGCCATGGAGTTTTTCTGTGGATCCTTTTCCTTCACATGCTTTTTTTTTTTTTCTGAGAGAAGAGAAAAGAAAGGACAAGCAAGCCAACAGGCAGATAATTGCTCTGTGCTGACGGTTTGTCAAGTGAAGGAAGCACAATTTTAGTCAAGAGATCTGCGCTACGGCAGCGCTTGAGCAGAAGTCTCTTCTTTTCCTCCCAGATGGCATTGACATGTAGCCTGAAGGGGCTATCAGGATACAAAGCTAAAGATGGTTAAAGACATTAAAAACTCTACCATATGAGCACCATCTACACCAGGACCATCATCTGGGAGGAAGATTCATCCTGACATATCAGGCAGAAGTCAGACCTTCTACTGGTGTTATGTAAAGCTGTTGAAACAAAGGTATATTTGAGATAGAGGAAAAATATATATTACTGCTACTATCCATGCTTTTCCAGTAGGTCTTCATTAACTCTTGAAAAACTATGACCAATAAATGTAATGATCTGCCTTCCCTTTTATTTCTGGGTGAATGAGAGCTCCTGTAGGATGTTTATCAGCTCAGGCAAGGAGTGGTTTGAGCCTTTCCTGTCTAACTCCGCTTCCCAGCAACGTACTGAATGTATCCTCTTCCTCGCAGGGCCATCAGTGTTTCCCAGATCCTGACAGGGCTTCTGTTAATGATAAACATTGCAGTCAGGCTAGGATTATAAATCTTGCCACAGGATGGAGGTAATTTGAATTTCTGCATTCCTTGGATTTGGTATTGTGTAAGTTGCTGTAATTAACTTGCACAGAGAATGGGCTTAATAACATTTCATTGTTTAATAAACTGGACAGCCTTTTTGTACCATGGGTGCAGCTGGAGGGATAGAAAACCACAAAGACAGGAGTTCACCTGCAGGAAAATATCCTCTGCTTCCCCCAAAAGCGATAAAAATGTCAATACTATTGACACAACCCCTAATTAAAAATGACTGCCATAATCACACATATCATAGCCGTTGGACATTAGTTTGGATTAAACATATACAGTGAGATGTGCTGCACATGTTTTCCAAGGGAAGACAGGGCTGGATGATGGTATCTCCTGTACATCCAACAAGAGCAGAAGAAGGATGCTTCAGCTCCTACACACGGGCTGCTTGTTTGCCACCCTTCCTGGTGAACTGGGACTGCCTGCACAGCCTGAGCTATTTGCAACCACGAGATAAAACGTGTCCACGTGAACTTCTTTGGCTGAGGTTTAAAGCAGACATCCTTTCTTTTGTGTCTGACGTGGCCAGACAGCAGGCGCGTGGCTGGTCGTAGCAGCTTGGCGGGTTCATGCATTACCTCAGCTACTGCAGCAGTGCTGAGGTGTAGTAGCACCCAGCCTGGGGTGTGGATAAGTCCTCCTTTCTCTCACAAGGAATAAAAGCCTTCATTTTGGGGTATTCAGCAAACAGAACTACAACAGAAAACAGCTTGTCACTGCTCCATGTAAATTAACTTATGCGATTGGTCTGCCTGGATTGGACATGGATTTAATGGTTGGACTCGATGATCTTAGAGGTCTTTTTCAACCTAAATTATTCTACAATTCTGTGACAGGCTCCCCATTTTAATGTTCAACTGCTCTTACCTCATGCTTGTTCTACCAGTGTATGCCCGGGGATCTCAGCTGGCTTATAGGTACTTGTCTTTTATTCTACAACACCAAAAATAAACACTGTGATCTTCCCATGTAGTCCTGGGGCTGAAAGGTAGGATTGCACCACAGAGCTGGGGCTGAGCCCACAAGCACCATCTGCTACAGGAGGGCTACAATGAGCTGAGTAACCCAGTGATGGGAGCAGAGCATGGCCAGTCTTCTCTTGAAGGTACCAGAGACTCAGCACCAAGGGCTTTTTTCCACATCCATGTGGGATAGGTATGTCACATCTCCTAGCACTTCCCTCAGATAAGATCTACCTCCAGTTCTTTCTGCCTACCCCTCCTGTAAATTATTTTGTGCAGTACCTTACAGGTGGCTTCTGCTTTCTCCTGCATAGTGAGAGAGGGAGAGGGAAAAGAGTGAGA